ATATCACTTTTTAATCCGATGGCCCATTTAAAACTTCGATTTTGACCACCACAGCTAAAAGCAGACGTGTGCAAGGTCAAAAATTCTAGGGGAGATTGGCCGGTCAAGTGTTCTCTTCGCCATCTTCCGGTAATTGATTCTAGCGAGGGTAAAACCAGTCCCCGAAAAAAGTGAGGACTAAAAAAAAAAAAAAAAAAGGTCCTCACTTTTGAAAATCGATTCTATCTAGTGTAAAACAGTCAAAATTCCACAATGGGGGTCTAACATTTTGCCAATGGGTGGAATCCTAGAGGGGGGGTAAAACCGGAATACCCCCCCCCCCCCTGCACACGTCTGGCTAAAAGGCCAAAAAATGGCCGTAGGCCGGTCAAGTGTTATATTCAAAATATTTCATTCGGTTAGAATTCCAATAGGTTTTCATATCCAATATAAATTTTGAGCTGAAAATGCTATATTTAGTGAGCAGGGCCGAAGAAAATATTTACGCTCAGCAGCCCAAATATTTATTTGAATATCTCTGAAAAAGGCCTAAAATAATTACGCTAAATCGAAAAAACATAATGTGAATTGGCATTTCCGTTTGGAATGAGTACTGGAGGATTTTACTTCCAGAACACATTGGACTGGGTCGGATCCACCTACCCCACAGGATTCACTTCCAAATTTGATAAGTCAAATTTGAGGCTGAGACCATTTTAAAATCGATAGTACAACAAAGCAACAATATCGGCCTGGTTAGTTTGGCGAAAATTTATTGAAATTGATATTCTACATGACAATCGAGTACAGATTAAAAAATTCAAAGAAAAACATCAGATTATTGAACTGATTTAATCTATAAGTTGAAGGATATAAATCCATCGCGTCTTTTCTCGTAAGATTACAACTTAAAATAGTCAGCCACCTCCTTGTTATCTGAACAATAATGTCGACTATTGATGTAGTTTGAATCACTTTTGTTTTCTAAACAGAAATGTTTAACATTACGGTACGAAGCAGCTAAGTGATACGGTGTCCGATTTTGTCTGTCTGTACCAGTAACACTGGCTCCCTTGGCGACAAGAGGTTGAACGATCTTTAAGTTGCCTAAGGAATAATTTCGACCAATGAAAAAATCAAACCAATTTCTTAGTTAGTGAAAATAAATATTCAACATTACCATTCAAAGGAGCCAAATGAAGAGGTGTCTCTTCATGAAGGTCTATAACAGTAAGATCAGATCCACTCTTGATGAGCTCTTCAACAACATCATTCTTATCTGAAATAATATTGATCAATCAAAAATTCAAAAGTTCAAATCAATTCATTATGGAACATGATTATCCAATATTTATTTACCCTGGATAACAGCTCGATGAAGTGATGTCCACCCATATTTACCTTTTAACAGAGGCTTTTTTGTCGATGAGCAATCGGACCAACTCCAAATAGCCTGAACAATAATAAAGATCAAACCAATTTCTTGTTTGAGGCACGATTGCAATCGTGCACGATCGTGGGGCTGGGAAATAGTGTTCTTATTGAAAATAAATGTGTTGCTAAGCTTAAATGGGAATACACATTACAGAAAGAACTTAACATGAAAACATAATTTCCTAAAAACTTTACATGAATTTTCGACCAACACGAGCGTAACATGACCTACGATTGCAGCTTCGAGATCATTTGTCGCTTTTGTTTCCGTTCAATTTGACAAAAAAATCTGAAATAAATGTAACAAAAAAATCAATAAAATTAACATTACCTCCAATGAAATGGTCGAATTGAGAAAATAACTCTAACAAAATTAGCAATATATCTGACAAAATGGATAGGAAAATGACACTTTTTGCAATAAATTTGACAATAGCAAGCACTAAATAAATAAATTTACGTCAAATTTATTGCATAAAATGTCAATTTTATACCCATTTTGTCAGATTTATTTTCTAATTTGGCAATTCTATTACCTATATTGTCAAAATTATTTTCTTAATCTGGCAATTTCATTGGACGTAATGTTAATTTTATTGATTGCTTTGTTACATTTTATTTCAATTTGTTGTCGATTTTGTTGAATTTTTTTGTCAATTTTATTGCCGTTTTGTCATTTTTATTGGCGATTTGTAAATTTTAAAGGAGGTTTTGTATTTAATCCAGTACTTGCATCAGTTGTTCTGATTCTATATGTACGATAGTATTCGAGTTAAAGATGCGACATTCGATTGAATTCTATGATAGAACCGCTATTGTGTGCCGCCACTTCCAAGACGTATCATTGATACTCAAAATGGACGGGTGCAACAAATACTTTGGTACTAGCCGTATGCCAATTTCGTGTTAAGTAAACATAAATATTCAACAATACCATTTTCGGCAGCTGTATGAAGAGGTGTCTGATTATAATGTAAATCGCGTCTTTTCTTCTCAACCTCATTGAGATAGTCTGCAACCTCCTTATATTCTGAAAAATAATATCGTTCAGTGAGGGATAAGGATAGAATCACCTTTTTTCTAAATTAAAATGTTCAACATTACTATTACTACACACTATACTCTAAATCGATTTCTTATTTAGTGAAAAAAAAATTCAACATTACCATTGTCAGCAGCCATATAATATATATAAGTCTATAGCAGTAAGATCGGATCCTCTCTTGATGAGCTCTTCAACGACATCATCATTACCTGAAAAACAATACAAATCAATGAAAAAGATCAAACCAATTTCTTGTTTTGTTAAAACATATATTCAATTTTACTCAATTTTACCTTTCATAACAGCTATATGAAGAGGTGTCCACATACGACTGTCTTTAAGTTCAATATCGGCTCCATTGCTGATGAGCTTTTCAACGAAATCCATGTTACCTGAAAAATAGCACAGATTAACAATATTAACAGGAACTTGATCAAAACCATTTCTTATTTTTAATGAACACAAATATTCTTACCATAGTCAGCAGCATAATGGAGAGGTGTTTGATTATTTTCATCTTCTAAATCAACTATAGCTCCTCCTTTGATTGGCTTTTCAACGATGTCCTTATGATCTGAAAAATAGCACCGACCAATGAAAAAAATCAAACAAATTTCTCAAGTGAAAATAAATGTGCAACATTACCATTCTTAGCATAATGAAGAGGTATGCGATTAAGAGCGTCTGTAGCATCAACTTTAGCTCCTTTCTTGATGAGCTTTTCAGCGACATCTGTTTTACCTGAAAAAATACATATCAATGAAAAATATTTAACCAATTTCTTGTTTTGGAAAAAATCAATATTGAAAATTACCATTTTCAGCAGCAACATGAAGAGACGTCTGGCCGCTTTGGTCCTTTTTGTCTACTCAAATTTGAAGAAATATATTAGATTAGTAAGTTACTTTGTATGCATGGAATGGTAAGGATAAAACGTAAAAAAAAGAATTGGAGCTTCAATTTTACCTTGTGTTACTGCTCCCTTTACTTTGGTCAGCAGCCCACAGTCATACCCACCTTCAGTTTGCTTCATGTCAAAATGGATAAAATGCATTACAAACACATAATCTCACTTCTTTGAATTGAATGAGACTTTGATGCGAAATAAAAAATGTTGTGTACAATGTTTGGAGCAGATTTTTTGTGTTTGAATTATTCTTGTACGAATTTATCAGTAAACAAAAAATCTGCCTTAAAGCTTGAACGAAAAGTGAAGCGATTTTTATTCTTGTTATCGGCGTGCAGATATTGTGATGTGTATCAAATGAAGATAAAACAAATTGATATTTTGAATATTGGCCTTAATGTGCACCTACAATTCCATTATCTGACATGAAGCTTGTATAGTAAGTACTTTGTTCAACAGCTCTTGGTCTAGGTGTCATTTTAAATGACATTATACAAATCGTCGCCTCGAATTAAAACTAATGGTTCAATAGCTATTCCAGAGAACCAATTGTGAAATTTTCTTTTCTACGCAATGCAGATTGACCACATTTATACCAACTAAACCATAGTTCATGAGTATATATGTATATTATATGAAACAGAACGAAAAGCGATCAGTTTAGATCAAAAATATTTTCATTTTTTTACGACTTTTCCCCGTTGAAAGTGAACAAGAGTCACTTCAAATCTGATCATAACTTTGATTCATTTTTATTATTTACTGCGTTTAATCTATTTACATTCTGTCAAAACAAGTACTTGGCATTTTCATGTAAAAACGGTTTCAATTGCTAATCTTCGGAGAACGAACTATGACGGGGGATATTGCGTTATTTTGATATAATCCATTAAGACATTTTATTTTATCTAGTAGTCAACAAAATGCAGACTTTTTGCCACATTTAAACCAACTAAACCACAGGAGTATGCATTGGTATATGTATTCATGTTTGAAAGTTGATGCAAATCAAAAAGGGAAAAAAATATCAGCTCAAAAATGAAATGTTTTTATTTATTACAATTTTTCCCTTGAATGAAAATGAACAGGAGTCACTTCAAACCTGATCGAAATTTTGATTTTCTTCCCTATGACTTACTGCGTTTAATCTATATTTACATTCTGTTAAAAAAAGTGCTTGGCATTTTCATGCAGATCGTTTGCCGCTTAGGTTTCGGGTAAAGTATTCTTTCACTGGATTGTCACTACCTTAACGAATATCCAATTTGAATGTGATACCTCAACTGCATAGATTCGTTGGACTGTGCAATTTTCATTTGATTTAAGCACAAAAACTAACATCGCCAATGGTTTCTTGTTGCGTATCACTCACAAATATCGCGTCCAAATTTAGCATGAATATTTGTTAGGGTTGCACAAATCCAAGAAAAAAAATTCTACTCAATATCTATACCGTTAGTAATTTAGAACACATAAAACTTGAGGTGCTTTTTCTGACACAATGTTAAAATCGATAGTACAACAAAGCAGCAATATTGGTGTGGTTAAAGTTTGACAAAAATGTACTGGAATTAATACTCTACATGACAATCGAATACGGAACTCAAAGGACTACATAGGATTTTTCAATTGATTTTACTTATGTCCGTTGTGCCTTTTCTCTTCAATCCCCTCAAGATAGTCAGCAACCTTCTTGTAATCTGGAAAAAAGAATCGATACAGTTTGAATCACATTTTTTCTAAACAGAATAGTTCAACATTACTTTCATTTCGTGAGATACGAGTAGCAGCTATTTGATACGGTGTCTGATTAGAAAAGTCTTTAACAGTAACACTGGCTCCATCGTTCACAAGGAGTTGAGCGATCTGTAAGTTGCCTGGAGGATATTATTGACCAATGAGAAAGATTAGATTAATTGCTCATCAAAAATAAATATTTATTCTACCATTATTAGCAGCATGATGAAGAGGTGTCTGATGAATGTAATCCACCGAATTAATATTGGCACCTTTCGTGATGAGCATTTCAACAACATTTGTTTGACCTAAAAAATACAGATCAATGAAATAGATTTAACCAATTTCTGGTTTTGGAAAAAAAACAATATTCAACATTACCATTCTCAGCAGCATAATGAAGAGGTGTCTGATTATTGTGATCTTCACAATTAACATTGGCTCCGTTCGTGATGAGCATATCAATGATATCCTTGTGACCTGAAAAATAGCACCGACCAATGAAAAAAATCAAACAAATTTCCTAAGCGAAAATAAATAGACACCAGTACCCTTAATAGCAGCATAATGAAGAGGTGTGCTTTTAAAAGCGTCTGTAGCATCAGCTTTGACTCCTTTCGTGATGAGCATTTCAACAACTTTTGTTTGACCTAAAAAATACAGATCAATGAGCAAGTTTTAACCAATTTCTGGTTTTGGAAAAAAACAATATTCAACATTACCATTCTCAGCAGCATAATGAAGAGGTGTCTTGTTATGGAAGTCTCCCAAATCAAGATTGGCTCCTTTCATGATAAGCTTCTCAGCAACATCCTTGTGTCCTGAAAAGTTAGTCCAGTCAATGAATTAGATCCAAGCGCTTTCTTATTTAGTGAGCAAAAATATTCCAAATTACCATTCATAGCAGCCAAATGAAGAGGTTTGCGCTGTTCTTTGTCTGTCGAATCAACTTTGGCTCCTTTCATGATGATCTTTTTAACGTCGTCCAAATTACCTGAAACAGATCAATGAAATAGATTCAATCAATTTCTGATTAAGTTAGCATAAATATCCAAAATTACCATTCTCAGCAGCGACATGAAGAGCTGTTCGGCCTCTTTCGTCTTTTTGGTTTACTAAAAATTGAAAGAAAAATAGATCAGTGAAGTGAATCGAGAGAAAATGTTTTACATTCGTGAGATGAACTTTGCCACACTTTCTTCTCAAAAATGATAGGGAAATGAGTGTTCCGTTAATTAGAGGACCTCTTCAGTTCCACAGAAAAAGTGGGATACGTCATGTCGGAAACCCATATAATATTGAGAAGTTTTTTTTGAAAATATAAATGCCAGAGATAAGTGAAATTATGTTTCAGTTTTATTGAAGCGAATCACTCAGCGGTAAGCTTCAAAAAAAGATTTCGTACTAGTGTTGTGTTTAAAAAAACAACAACTCTAACGTCAGAGATAAATGCTTATTTCAGATAGGGAATACGAATATCACAATGACGATTAGAACAGGTGCATCAACGGAGTGAACTCTTTGGAACTTCATGGAAGCCTTAACGCGTGCATCTTTGCTTTGAGTGATCTCCATATTTTTTGAATGCACGCGTTCAATTTTATTCTCGATTTTTTTTTCAATTCGTTCGAATGTAGAAGAATTGTGAATTGAAACGATCGCCTGTATATAAAATATACACAGTGCAGCTCACAACATGGGCTTTCAAGTTGATGTTGCTGTGTCACATACACAAACATTTGCGCTGTTTTGTTCATTGTACAAACATGCTACACACAGCACGGATTTCTTGCTACACAATCTGCCAGCTAAGACAATACACAAAACTA